ATACATCAGTGGTATTGATAGTGAATTCGGTGTAAAACTATTCACCCTGAGGTCATCACAGAGGACAAGGGGGCACTCTTTATGTCTGGAGGAAAAGAAATTTAATCTCCAAATACAGAAAGGTTTCCTCACAGTGAAAACTGTGAAAATGTGGAATAGACTCCCTCAAGAGTTGGTTCTGGCCAGCTCAGTGGATTTGCTTTAAAAAAGCCCTGGATTCTTTCTTGGATATACAGAATATAACTGGATACTAACATTTATAGGTAAAGTTGATCCAGGGAATATTTTATTGCCTCTTGGGGGATCAGGAGGGAATTTGTTTTCCTGCAGGAGCAAATTGGATCATGCTTTGCTGTTTTTTTTGCCTTTCTCTGGATCAACTGTGGGTATAGGATTATTACTTTTTTTTAATGGTTAAACTGGATGGACTTCTGTCTTTTTTCAGCCAGACTAACTATGTAACAGTTGCCAGCTAAAGTAGCTGAATAGCAAAACATGCCCTGGTCATGATAGGGGTAAAATCTTTGCAAGGTTAAGTGGTTAAATAGTTCTTTTGGGCATTATAGCAAGGAAACCAAAGACGTTGAAAATACTTAGGCCTCATTCAGGCAGGCGATAACAACAGGCCGTTTGGCTGCATTGGTTTGCCCATTGAACTCAGTTTGACTCAACCGCTAGCCAATAAAGATATAAAACCGGAAGCTGCAGTTATGTTTCCTGAACACTCGAAAGCTGCTGATCTTTTGCTCTTTGAGGTGCAATCCACTGTAGAACACTTTTCAGAGACTGCCTCCATGTGCCTCTAGCCTAAAGAAGTATACTGGAACAGTTTATGTATATGAACAGTCATTTCTATGTATTGTTTTGTATTTATCATATTTAGGTTTAAAAAAAATATGTTTAGAAAATAGTTTTTCAGGCAAATATGAAGTATTACATATGGATATTTTTGATTCATGTTATCAGACAGCAAGTGGAAATCTTGGCTACTTTTTAGTTAGCTAGTAGATTATATAGATGAGTGATGGCGAACCTTTTAGAGGCCAAGTGCCCAAACTGCAACCCAAAACCCACTTATATATTGCAAAGTGCCAACACTGCAATTAAACCTGAATACTGAGGTTTTAGTTTAGAGAAAACAACCCATACATTAACATCTTTTGTCTTAAAAAAAAAACACAATAACAGAGCTTCCACTGACCACCAGCACAAGGGGGAAAAGTTCCACTGACCACCAGCACAAGGGGGAAAAGTTCCACTGACCACCAGCACAAGGGGGAAAAGTTCCACTGACCACCAGCACAAGGGGGAAAAGTTCCACTGACCACTAGCACAAGGGGGCAAAGTTTCACTGACCACTAGCACAAGGGGGCAAAGGTCCACTGACCACCAACACAAAAGGGAAAAGTTCCACTGACCACCAGCACAAGGGGGCAAAGTTCCACTGACCACCAGCACAAGGGGGCAAAGTGCCACTGACCACCAGCACAGGGGGCAAAGTGCCACTGACCACCAGCACAAGAGGACAAAGTTCCACTGACCACCAGCATAAGGGGGCAAAGTTACACTGACCACCAGCACAAGGGTGCAATGTTCCACTGACCACCAGCACAAAGGTGCAAAGTTCCTATGACTACCAGCACAAGGGGACAAAGTGCCACTGACCACCAGCACAAGGGGGCAAAGTGCCACTGACTACCAGCACAAGGGGGCAAAGTGCCACTGACCACCAGCACAAGGGGGCAAAGTTCCACTGACCACCAGCACAAGGGGGCAAAGTGCCACTGACCACCAGCACAAGGGGGCAAAGTGCCACTGACCACCAGCACAAGGGGGCAAAGTGCCACTGACTACTAGCAAAAGCTAAAATCTTGTGTTAATAAAAATGAATCTTTTAAAACTCACAGCCAGTCCAATATATATATATATATCCTTGGCAGTGCACTAACCAGCCATGCGGAAGCTCGGACCAGTCGCAGCTAATGAGTTAAGGCTCGTGATGTCATCGCCTGGTGCCGCTACTCCTTTCCGAGCATGCGCATGACCCTTATGTGCGCTGTTATCTGTTGCTTGGCTATTGGGACGATGCTGGGGTGACTTGGCTTGCATGTCAACTGAGAGGACACTGCATGCCGGCTGTGGCACACGTGTCATAGGTTCGCCACTACTGATATAGAAAAATCCAAACTTCTACTTTTATCTATAGCTAACACAGTCCAACACACTGCTGCTGCAGGAGATTATTAGAAAAGATGACACATAAAATTATGCCTGGCAAAAATCATTAGTTTTGTTATTGTATGCTTTTCCCTTCAGATAATTTCATATGAACTGTCGTGATCGGCTCTCGAAAGTTGTGTACTAACAATCAGATTGTTGGACGATCGCTCTGAAAGCATTTTATTTTGTCCTATTTTCTGCGTGTGTGTACCCACCTTCACAATCAGATTGTTGGACGATTGCTCCGAAAGTGGTATTTTTGATCCAATTTTCTCATTGTGTGTACTAGACATTAGGGTGGTTTGGAAAGCAATGCTTTTAAGCCCACAATTACTTGCTGTCCAAAAACGCATACAATTAAAGTATGAACTGTCACTTATTCATATTTTTTATCTATTATACAACACTTTATGAGGTTAGTTTATATTGTAAAATGTAGGCAATTATTTTATCAGTGTTTTATAATTAACTGTGTTTTGCATTACACTCATGAATAGAACTATGTGGCAATTGCTTTTCCTAGAAAACTGTATAAGCAGAAATAAAAATGTGGAAAAAAATAGGAGATATGGCAGCCAATTCTTCTAGCAAAGGTTGGTTGCAGCTGCCAGCACTCAGGACTGGATTTTTTATGGAAGCTGGAATGTCATTCTTTCCACACAATGGCTCTGATTCATTAAGCTGCAAAATCACTTCAAGTGTACGTAAACCCTAATGATAAATGATTCCTATTTGTTCTCATTTGTTCTGGTAAATATACAATTAAAAGTGATTTTTTTATATATCTGTTTGATAAGTGCAAAATAAATATCAGTTTATTAGTCAGAGCTGTCTTGTGTGCTGTGCACACTTCCTGTGTCATCTCATGTAGTCTAATTCGTTCTCCTAGTTCTTAACTTGGACTATAGAATTCTTGCCATTTATGCTAAAACTTATCTTGGTAGTATTAACCTCCCTGGCGGTATGATTATTTCAGATTTTTGGTGCTGAAAGTGGTACCATTTTTTTGCATGGAAATATGTATTTTTTTTATTGTAGGCTGTAATTTTTAGGAAAAACTCACTGAAATCTGTCCGAACAAGAGTCTAGTAAACATCCCGGGTATGATAAAATTTGAAACACAAAATCATAAATTATAATTTAATAAATAATCATAAAAATAATATAAAAATAATAAAAAAAATTTAATTCAATAATATAATCAAACCAAAAACACTGAAATGTGAAATAGAGCGCCAAGTTCGCACATTGCTGAGCTCAGTCGCAAAATCGTTTTCAGTTTCTGATGACGAATTTCCCCCACGAATCATTATCACTCAATTCTGTAAGTGGTTCTGATTTACTATCGCTGTTCTCTAGCTGATCTAAACCCGCTTTTGACCTAAAGGGACGCTTTTTGGACGCCATGGACATTTCTCAGTTTCCAGGCAGAAAGAACAGACAAAATGCAGGCAGGGCGCAGGACAAAGCACTAGGGACAATATGTATGTGAAATAGGTTGAAACAGCAATGTTTTACTGTGTAAAATGAAAAAAAAAATGACATTTTTTTAAATTTTTAAATTTCCCACCACCGGCGGCGGCGGCGCCCGTACGTCCCGACGTCACAGGGACAGGACACAGAAGCCGGATGCCGGCATCGGCCGGAGGAGATGGCCGGGGACGCTGCAGGGGACACATCGTGGGAGCGCAGGGTAAGGTAAGCGAAGAACACATGCCGGAGCAGCGCCACATGGTATTCCCGAGTGTAGCTCGGGGTTACCGCTTTTGGTACTGAAATGTTACCCCGAGCTACACTCGGGAATACCGCCAGGGAGGTTAAGCAGCAGAATTTTTTTTTATAGGCATGCATAGAGAAAGGTCCCTTAGGGGTGCGGAGTGCACACCTAGCAAAGTCATTAGTAAACGGGCTTAGTAAGCAGCCTCATCCGACTTCATTCATAGTCATACAACAACGCGTTTCACCCACCCAAGGGGCTTAATCATGGATTACGCCCTGTGGGTGGGGTGAAACACCATGGGAGCATGGCTATGGAAGAAGTTGGCTGAAGCTGCTTTCACCTGTTTACTAATGGCTTTGCTAGGTGTGCGCAGTGTTGCTAACCTCCTATAGCATTTTTTACTTACAAAACAGAAAATGTACTCATGAAATACATTTTGTTTACTGACAACCTGAACAATTACATTAACAACTAAGACAATCAATATTTAAACAGTATAACCACAATATGGAAACACTGACAATACCCATAACAAGTAATTTGACTGTTTTACAATTACGAAATTCAACACAGAATGACAAATTATCAGCCCCTAATATTTACATACAGTTGTAAAAATTACTGATTATTACAAACGGTCTGTAAATTTACTGATGGTTGGCAACCCTGGGTGTCCACAGTATATGAAGAATGTAGAAGAACGTCTGCCCAGCCAGCACCCATTGCAGGAATCACTGGGTGGGCTTGCAGGAGCTTGAGCGGAGACCATAAAGTGGTTCTAAAGGCAGAAGGTTTTTTACCTTCATGCATTCTACACATGAAAGTAAAAAACCTTCTGTGTGCTGCTCCCCCTACAACCCCCTCAATACTCACCTGAGCCGCCTCTCTATCCAGTGATGTGCACAAGTGCTTTGGCTGTCCCAGGACTCCCTCTTCTCATTGGCTGAGAAAGCAGTGGGAGCCATTGTCAATCATAGCCAGTGAGTCAATGAGGAGTCAATGAGGAGAGAGTGTGGGGTGATGACCCTATGTGTCTCCTAGATTGTAAGCTCCAAGGAGCAGGGCCTCCTTTCCCTCTTGTATTGAACTGTATTGTTGCTGTATTGTCTCCTGTTATATTGTAAAGCGCTGAGCAAACTGTTGGCACTATATCAGGGGCGGACTGACCATTTGGAATCTCGGGCACTGCCCGAGAGCCCGGGGTCAGTAGGGGGCCCCATGAGATGCCCCTGGTACCTTTTTCATAGGCATTTTTTAGTTTGGGCAAGGACACAGGGGCCCCATGATCCCTTATTGCCCGGAGGCCCCAAGAGTTGTCAGTCCACCCCTGCGCTATATAAATCCTGTATAATAATAATAATGTGTCCTATGGGTGCATAAAGCCGGGCTCGAGAGCAAGCAGACACCAGTACCCCATAGCAAGCAGTTTGCTATTGGGGGCACTGGTCAAGGGGGAGGAGTCAGCAGCACCGATGAGGAAACTTGAGAAGAAGCGGATTGGGGCTGTTCTGTTCAAAACCATTGCACAGAGAAGGTATGACATTTTTTTTTAAGCAGAACATTTGATAGTACTTTAAGTTTTATGAGGTTACAATTTTTTTCTATAACAATACAGGTTATTTGCAGACTAAATATAGGTTTATATATATGTCAGAAATTCTTTATGAAATGGAGTTACATTAGGTAGTGAACTGTGATATTGCTGCCTAAAGTGACAATATATAACTATAACAAATAATGTGTCTTAGCAAGAGTTGCATAGTGTGCTTTTATTTAGCAAATTGTCAATAGCTCCATTTGTCTAGAAATAGCTCTTTTCAGCCAGGGAACTTTGGCCCTTCATCCCAAAAATACAAGTGCTTATTATACCAAGAAATTGATTTTATGCACTTTAGCATCCTGAAAAAAGTAATGCCGGTATTTTAACAATTTGGCCCCATATGTCCTGTGAGTGGTAAAGTCATTGCAGAATTAACAATGTGTGTGTACTGCGTGCTTAAGGCATGTCTAGTAAACATTTCCAGAACATCTTACTATAAAATTAAACTGTTTTGGCTTTGATTTTTTAGAATCTTACTAAATTACAAAAACGTATGTGTAACAAAAGGTAGTTTTAAAGACAATTTGTTTTAGAAATAATCAGATTCTCTTGGAAAAATTAACTGTTTATGTGTTTCTATGGGAGAAATAAAAAATTGGAACCCTCAGTTGCTTTTCTTTTCCTATGAAGACAAACTATGTCAGCACAGTATCAGTCAAGTACTGTTAGTTTTGAAAGATCAGTGATTATGTCAAGAGATTATGTCAAGAGGGAGCACATATTTTTTATATGACCACTGGGCTCCCACTCACTAAAAGCTATTGACAATTGTAGCAATCATGCCCACAGAGATGGATGCGGTTCAACCATTTTGCTCCAAACCCTCCATCTTGTAGATCCTTCTCCCCCTCTTGGATCATCCTCTTTCTCTGAGAGCCACAGTGACATTTGGTCAGTGTGTGTGTTGGAAGTGTCACAGGAGGCCAGAGCACAGCAGGCAGTTCTGAGCTATAAAACTCCCAAGGGATCTGGGGCCTCTCTGTCTAAAGAACCTGTTCAATCTGGCACATCGTAAAAGGATAACCCAAGCCTTCCCCTGAGTTCAAAGACATTCCAGAGGAGTAAGAAAATAGATAACACTTTTAAAATCCATTTTTCCCCTATGTCTCATATCTTGGAATATGAGAGACTTACATAAAAAAACAGGCATATCTTCAGATTGGCCACGAGAAGACAAACAGTTTGATATGTCACTCTCCTTGGCTGGAATATATAGGAAAGCAGAAAATGACATCTCTTGAACCATTCAAGTATGTATTTCATATTTCATATCTAACTGTTCCTCAGATGCGTCTGCATATTAATCTACCCGCGGGTGGAATGTTACTTGTGCCTTGGAAACGTTATGAGCCAAAATATGAGCTAGGAGAGATTTTGGTTCTAGTTTGGGTCTCCACCCAGACACCCCCTACCCAAATGAGGCATTGGTCCTTGGCTCTAGAGACACCCCCTGCTGGGGGACTACAAAATAGGCTGTCAGGCCTAAGAGTGAGAGTTGAAGAATTCTCCCATTTAACATCAGAACCAACTTGGGAGACAGTGCCCTTTTGCCCTGAAACTTGATCTGCTTAAGCCAGGACTTTTTGGCAAGTACTTATCTACCTAAACTTCTTTCTGTTATCTGTTTGCTGTGTTATTGCTCTCTATGTATTTATATATATATATATGGCAACATCTTTTTTCTGTAAATATTTTTATTGAACCCTTTTGACCTTTTAGTAATAAATCTTACTTTCTGAAAGTGTTGAACTGTTTCTAAAGCTCTTTATTGCAAAGTATGAATTCCTGCCTCTAAAAGAGCGCTATTGTGTGTGTTTAACCCTCTGTATAACCTGTCTGTGGTGACAGTGGTATACCGATGATTATCTCAACCATCATAGTGTTATTGCTGATATTGCCGAGTTTCCTCTCTCTCTGTACAAAAAGGAGGTGGTGGCAGTGTGAAGGGTTAATTGCGTAATTAACCTGACCAAGTAACAATCACATTCAGGCTGCCGGTACATCGATTTGTGGTCCATTAGCTGGAAAATCGTTGTGCAGGGTGCAGCTGGGCGTGGCATCGTTACGCATGTAACATCGCGGTTTTAGATTGGCTAGTTCTTCGGTCACGAGTTTGGTGAAAAGGTCAGGGGTCTGACGCCGCGATCGTCACAACAATGTTTAACAGTGTTTTTTTTATTATGAAAAAGGTTGAATATTGTATGTGTTCAACCATAATTTACTGTAATATTAAGGTTTTGGTTGAGAATGCCTTATAATTTATGGCACTCTTTCTCAAAGTATATGGACAAGAACACAAAGCAATATAGTCCAGAGATATTTTAAAATGATTGAATCCCATGTATTTTTCACTAGTGGCTATAAACAGGCAGATGTTTCATAGAAATTTTGTGAGACATCTGGTCATTGTCCAAAAGTGCCAAACCCTGCCACAGTCTTCACTACAATATAGCTTATATTTCTAAACACACATTGTCAAACTGTATCTATAAAAAAATAGACGTTTCTGCAAAAGTTTATCTAAGTATAAGAAAACCCCCTTGGGAAGCCTGATCTATGCATCCTAGGAGGGCATCCTAGAAGACCTATATATGGGCATCCTAACAAATCTATTTTATGAACTTCTTTGCATTTTCAAAAAAGCCTGTTTGGAGCAGAAGGTTGGCCTTCTGCTGAGACTCAAAGGTCACTGTAATTGTTGACTTTTCATTGATTTGGTCTGAATAATGTGTGCGTTTTGCTTAGCTCTAAGCTATACCCAAATATTTTTTTCATCTAAAATATACATTAACCCCATGAGAGGGGAAAGTGCAGTTTTATTGTCCTTGGAGCAATATTTGAGCCATTACTAGCTTAATGAGCAGAAGAATGCAAATGAGTGGCATAGAGGTCAGTGGAAAACACGGTGGCAGTGTGACTCTCACCCGCCAACCAGCAAGATGTCTGTTGCTCACCATACATAAGTGTTCATTGACAAGCTGTAGCTGTCACTATATCCACAGGGCACATATGAAGCATAAAAAATACAGCATTCCAATTACTTTTTCTACACATATGAAATTTATTTGTCAAATCCAATGCACATGATATGAATGCTTGTAAGTTCTAAGTGTTTGGATATAAAAATGATAGAAAATGGTATTAGTATACATTACTTCATTGTATTTATCTTTTCCTTGTAAAAAAAAGGAATAATAAAAGTGACACTTGTCTAACTGATTAGATTTCCCGTTTAAGCCTTTTAAGGTCTTTTAGCTGTGATATAATTTGTGAAACAAAATCAAGTGTGAAATAAACATAATCAAACTAATAAAGCATAAAATAAAGGTATATTATATAATGGTGTAGCTTTCCAAAATGTATATTTAATGATATCGTTTTTCAGACTCATTCACAGGATCTATAAAGACCGTGAGTCCTGCGATAGTGCTGTGTGATCAGAGATAGACTTTGTAAAAGAACACTACTGTCTATTAGGTCGCATCTGGTGTCTAGACATAGGACCCAAGACTGAACATCTGGTTCAGATATGAAAATGGTTAAAGGTCCACAATGCAGGCCCAAGAATCAGATCTAACGTCACTCATTGCCACTAGCGTAGAAGCATTGTCCACTAGTCATCAATATGTAAAAAGGAAACAATAGAAAGGATGTAGGACTTAAGATGAAGAGATACATGAAAAAGGAATACGTTTGAGAAGAAAAAGGAAGAAAAATCAGTAAACTCCCCTCCTACTCAGGGACATGCCCCCTCCCCCACCCCTTCATCCAACTCAAAACTTAAATAGGGGACTGCATAGAATGTAGCCAGGGCTTCCCGACCTCCTCATATCTACTCTGTTTAGCCTGTAAAATGCTTGTAATTATTCAAACAGCATGATCAAGGAAATTTTGTTTTGACCTTATAATGTCCACCACTGATGTCACCACTGGGAACCATACTCTAGCTAAGGACATTTTTGCTGCCAAAACATAAAAGACGAGTGTCTGGGAGTATCCATGATCTACTCACTCAGAAGAGAGTTACAAGCAATTTTGGGGACACTGATATTGGTGACGAAGGAATCTGGACAGATATTTTTGTCCAAACCATGTAATTTTCGGACAAGTCCATCATACGTAGAACATAGGACCCATTTATTCTTTTAGCCTCTAAATTAAATGAGGGAGGTGTCAGAGGGTAGATTATAGAAATCCTTTCAGGAACTAGGTACTAACAACATAGGACTTTGTAATTGTCCACTATCATGGTCATATTAGGTATTCTGTTCCATATTCTAATGGTGCAGGAAGCCGCATCCTCTTCACTGATGTTTTTATTTATGTCTGCTTCTCATGCTAATCTATAAGAAACCTTAATTGAAATGGTGGCAAACAAATGGTATAGTAAAGAAATGCCACCTCTCTGGTTTTTCAAATTATGCTTCTCTGTACCACATATACAGATCATGCTGATATACTGTACTTGTACAGCATATAGCATATCCTATTTACTAGAGTTTTGCTATTGTTTCATTTCAGGTTATAAATGCAAACT